ATCAAGGGGAATAATGATAGATCATAGATAGACTGCTAAATGACTGAAAAATTCATATTCATGGCCGATAATTGCTGATCATAAAGAAAACTTAGTAAACTCAAAAATAAAATAAATATTTAAATACTTTTTTTTTAAGGCTTTTTTTTCTAAGCCATGTTAAGGGTTAAGAAGAAGAAGAAGTTACCAGGAAAATCCCCTCGCTTTGAGATTACTTTTTTTTTTGGTTTTCTTTGGCGGCCAAAAAAAAAAACTTTTCTCGGTCTTTGAATGCCGCCGTTGATTAGCTTTAAAAATTGTTATTGCCGACTTCGTTTGCTGTCATTGTGGCCAGCACAAAGTTGCCCCATTGTTTTTGGCAATTAAGAGGCAGCAGCAACAGCAACAACAGTAACAACAACAACAACAACAACTCTAACAACAAACAACATGAAAAGGCAATCCAAACAAACAAATCTTGCCGCATCATAGCAAACTAATTTAACAAAATAAGGGGTAAGGGTGAAAATAGCCAAGTAGCCACAAAACAATGGGTTAAATATCCAATAGATCTCAATCGAAATGCCATTCTCAATCGCCAAAATCTTCAATCATCAATCGCAAATCACAAACCGCAGCCAGCACAGCCAACCAATAATATCAATCAAAGGCAGCCAGAAACGTGACACACATTTGGCTGCCCCTTTCTCGGAGGATCACATTAAGATTGCCATAAGATTATATATATATATAGTAGGTGTATTATATATGACCCCTGGCCCACCCCCTCATCTTTCAATCGCTGAAATGAGCAAGAATCAGGGAGTAGTAGTAGGAGGAGGAGGAGGAGGGGCAGGTGGGAGGCCAAACGCGCTGCCGTTTAACATAATTTGCTATAATTTCCAACACAATGCAGATGGAAGCAAAGGTAGGATGGAAGGACAGAGGACAGAAGGTAGGAGAAGGTAGAGAGTTTGTGCACTGCAAAGAAAACTTTAAGAAGAAAAAAGAAAAGTGATTAACTTGAAGGAAAGTGAAGGTTCTCCAGGACTTCTTTGAGGAGCTTTAAACTTTCTTTCATTTCCCAAACACCACTCATATATCAACCACTCATTTCTCTCAGTGCCTTTTGCTGCCTCCACTCGGTGCAATAATCATTTTGTTATGCGAGGGATTCGGTTCTCGGGGGCCGACCCCTTGTGATTGCTACCATGGCCCATTATGCTACGTTGTTTGCCCTTTTATGTCAGAGTCTAACCTATAATTTAACTAAATGTTCAAATGTTCCTGGCCGCGTGTTCAACTTAGTTCAGTTTAAGTTTCCCTTCCCCCTTTCCCCTTTCCCTCCCCCCCTTAAGTCGGAAATTTGTTGAAAGCTCCAAATTGGAAACAAATTTCGGGGCCCCGGCCAAGTGCGGAAATAAAATATTAGCCGCACATTTTTCTAAATTGCCCACAATTTGCCGCCTTGCCTTAGCCTGGAACATAAATGAACTTTAAAAATACGAAATGATAACCAACCGAGATGCGATTTTGATATATCTTAATATCAGATATCCAAATAATAAGCCAGAGGAGAGGCAGGGCGATAGCCCCCCCCCTCGCGAAAAAGCAAACTCAAATTGCAGAAACTAAAATTAAAATCCACAACGAGTGAGCTGCTTTTTCAACAGCAAAGAGCACAGAGCAAAGAAAAATATATAGAGCTGGAAAAATATGGAAAGGAAAACCAAATCAAAGGCAAACCAAAATATTTTCCTCAAATTTATTGCCGAAAAATGCTTTTCACGCCCATTTGCTGTGAGCCAACAGAAAATTGTTGCCCGCTGAGTAAACTGGAATTTTGATTGCCGCCTTTTTTTTTTGGCAGTGCAAGGAGGAGCGGGAATTTAGAAAAATACAAAGGAAAATATGGAAAATGTTTTTCCTTTCGGTTGGGTTTTGGGTGGGCGCAAAAAGTATGGCAGTTTTGGGTGGGAAATTGAGATTTTTTTTAAGGATCTGAAAACTTCTTGAAAAGAGGTTGATATTTTTTAAATAGTTTTTTAAACTTTTACTTAGAAAGATCCTTAAAAATAATATTTCTCAAGATCCAACCTTTACCCCATTCCCTATGCCCTGCCATTTCCCTTGCTTTTTCCCCAGTTTTGGGTGGGAAATTGAGATTTTTTAAGGATCTAAAAACTTCTTTAAAAAATGGGTTCTTATTTGCTTTTAAATTTTGATATTTTTTAAATATTTTTTTTAACTTTTACTTAGAAAGATCCTTGAAAGATCCTTCTCCCATTTCCTATGCCCTGCCCTTTCCCTTGCTTTTCCCCCATTTGAAAACTTCAACTTTTTTTCATTATCAACTTTTCGAAACCACAAAAAAAAAAACTATAATAACCAATCTACTGGCACACCCCCTTAACCATGTGCCGCCCCCGCAACCAATTGTGCTTTATTTTTGCTCTGGAATTTCCTTTCTGTTGCACTTTTTGCCGCACTCCATTTGCCATTTGCCATTTGTTGCTGTTTTTCTTTGTGGAGGTAACAAAACAATGTGGAAATGTGTGCCGGCCGCCGAGTAAAAAACACAAAGAAATGGGAAAACCACCAAAGGAGTAACAATAAAAAAAAAAGAAGAAGCGGACAGAAAAACTGAGGAAAACAAATGCAAAACTATTGTAAATGCATATTTTAGTTTAGCCTCTTTTTTTATGTGTGTGTGTCCAACCACCCACCACCCACCATTTGTTGTTTCTTTTGTTTGGTTGTGGGATATGAAAATGAAAAATTATGTGACCGCAGGGCCCTCCACAGAGGCAAATATCGCATATGGAAAAATATTGCAAACTGTGTGGTTTTGCGGGCTGTTCGTGGGTGGTTTTGGTTGGCAGGTAGGTAGGGAGTTCCTTCTCCTCCTCACCCCTTTTATTTATTGCGCTGCAGTTCTACGTGTAATTGAAATGCGGTGGCAGCTTAGCCGCGTGTTCTGTGGATTCTGCTGGGTGGGTGGGGGTTCTCTCTTTGTTGGTTTCCCCTTTGTAAACTCTTCTACTAGCCTTCTTTTTTTTTTGTATTTATTTTCGCTGGCGGATTGAGTTTTGCCACGTTTACGACGTTATCAAGGTGATTACGCCAAAGGTTATGTTACTTTGTGGCAATTTTGCATATGGAAAGGCAATGCAGGCCAGGCATCTTCATAGGCAAGTTGGAATGTGAAGGGAAAGCTGCTTTGTGAGGTTGGGAACTGAAATTTGGTAGGTTCTTACTGGGAAGTCCAGGAAGTGCGAGGAAAACACCTCAGAAAACCCCTTCCATACTAAAATATCTATCACAAAAATCCTTCCAACTAACTTAACCTTCCTTTCTAACTCTGAAAATGAACAAAAAACTACACTATATACCCCTTCTTCTTACCACTTTGCATAGCCAAAAGGCCTTCTCTGGCCAACTTCCCATTAGATTTCTGTGTTCCCCTTTATAGAACTCTCTCCATCCAGCTCCCAGCTATCCTGCTCCCAGCTTCCCAGCGGATTATCTTTTTGTGGCTGTCATAAAGTCACACGCTCCGCTCCACAGAGAACTGTTGGATGGTAAGATGGCCTGACCGAGGATTTGGATTCGTTATGGTGGTATATATGCGCTATATGTCTGAAAGACTGAAACCCAACTATGCACAGCATGTTACTTCCTTTTGTGTGCATCCTGTTTGCCGACAAAACTAAAAAAGAAACCCACAGAAAAGCTTCGTCTTCTCTTCTGGTTCTACGGTTCTGTGGTTTCCTTTAAGCGCGTTCTCAGGCCCCGAAAAAAAGGCTTTTCTAGCGAAATTCGCTGCGCCGCCGAATGTGTCAGTTTATAAATGTGAAATGTGAAGGGCCCAGGGCCCAGGGGCCCCACCGCCGACTTTGGCTGCATGTCTAGTCGTCTGCCCGGGCGAGTTCATAAATTCAAATGAACTGCAGAACGGCGCTCATCATTAAAATTCACGCTCAAATTGCCTTCTAAGACTGCTTTTCGGCCAACAGCTGCACTGGGTAGAAAATATGAAAAAAAGAAAAAAAAAAGGAAGAAAAGGAAGAAAAGGAACCAAAATCTAAGCCCAATTCATTGGAAACTATTTGCCAAAAAATCAGAGAATAAACCAAGAAAAGAAGAGCTTGCGACGCGCAAAGACATAAATCATAAAGTTTCATTGAGAAAAATATATAAAACCAGGAGAAAATCAAAAAAGTTGCAGCAGATCATTAAAAGAGCGTCCCAGATATGAATATTAAAAAAGAGCCAAGGCAGCCAAGGCAGCCAAGGCAGAGGCAGAGGCAGATTCAGATCCCGAGGAAGGGAAGAGAGAGGGGAGAGACGGGACAAAGGATCGAAGGGAGGGAGGGAGAGAGCGGTCCCGAAAGGTGCCACTAAAACTTTTGAAATATGTTTTTATTTTATAACTTTGCATGCTGGGCACGGTGCTTCTGGAGCACCCGGAACGTAAGCCAAAAAAGAACCGAACCGAAGAATCGAACAACAACCGAACAACCGAACAACCCAAAACCCACAGCCAGAACGTCGTAAAAATGGCATCGAAGTCTGCGGAGACGCGTCTTCTCTGCCTACCAAGTCTTTCAGTCTTTCAGTCTTTTTCAGTCTTTGCAATCGTTTTTCGTTTGGATCGCTGGGGATCGCTGAAGTGGTGGGGGGAAATGGGGCTAATTTTGCGACGGCCGCCCGGTGCGGCGGTAGCATCAATGCAAAAAATAACCACAACCGGGCAGAAGAATCTGAATGTGAATCTTGAGAGCCAGCAGAATCGTTGGGCAACAACAATTAGACATGCGCCGCCGTCCATAAACCGATGCACCAAGACAGGAGATCTGCTAAGAGGAAGGGGGGATAGTACTATCCTCTAAAAATCAAACTAACTTGTAGATTTCCCTAGTTAAAGGTTATTCCTAAGGATATTTAGCTTCTTCTTGATTGAAATCAAAAAGAAAAGTAACTTATATTAACCCTATATCTCTTCTTTAACCCTCTTTCAGGTGTGGTTCCAAAACAAAAGGTCAAAGGAGCGACGCATGAAGCAAATTACCAGCATGGGTCGTCCGCCGTTCTTCGGTGGCGCTCGTAAAATGAGGGGATTCCCCATGAATCTCTCGCCCGGCGGACTGGACGATGGACCAGGCTTTCCCTATTTTGCGGCGGACGCCAAGTTCGAGTTCGGCTACGGCGGACCCTTCCACCCGCACGACGGACCCTATTTCCCCGGACATCCCGGCGGACCGATGCCGTTCAATGCGCCAGGTAAGAAGCCAAAGTTTTTGTTTAGCCAAGAAAAATTGTTTAGCCAAGAAAATTATAGAAATTAGAGGGAAAAATCAAAAATTGAAAAACTAACTAACAGAATCTCCATTACTTTAACCCTTAGGTGGCCCCATGGACCACAGCGGACCCATACCGATGGTGAACGAGTTCGGACTGACGCCGGAGGCGACGTTCCTTGGCCAGGCGGGCGGTCCGCCGATGCAGCTGCAGTCGGCCGTTGGACCGCCGCCACCGCCGCCGCCGCCAAGCGCCGAGCATTTGATGGCGGCCGCAGCAGCAGCGGCGCAGCAACAGGCGGCGCAACAGCAACAGCAGCAGCAACAACAACAGCAGCAGCAGCAGCAACAGAATGCGCAACAAGCGGCGAATCAGACGCAGCAGCAACAGCAGCAGCAACAAAATGGCCCCCGAACCAATTCGCCGGAGTTCATGAGCTCGGCGAATTTCAGCGAACCGCAGAATATGCAAAATGAAGGGCTCGTTTGGTAATATACGAAACAGTTGGCAACGCGGCTGCTGCTCTTCGGCAGAGAGCGAATGCGGGAGCGAGAGAGAGAGAGAGCGGCGCACGGCGAGTAACAGAGTGGGAGGGAACGATGTAGAGTGAGAGGGCGAAACAAAAAAAAAAAGTTCACCTCTTGCTGTAGTGCCGTCTCGTTCTGGCCAAAGGCTAAGCCCCACCCCTCTGATACGTTTTGTTTTTGTTATACTTTTATTATTATTATTATTATTATTATTATTACTGAGCTATTTTTTTTCTATATCAATTCGGCGCCAAAATATTTGTAAATTATAAAACTAAAAACTAAAAAAAACTAAAAACACAAATAAAAAAACAAAATAGACAAAGAAAATCTCTCTTAAATGTATAAAAAAAAAAAACCAACAAATAATGGGCGCTGCACATAGTAAACAATTTTTTTTAAACAAAACAAAAAACAAACAAAACAAGAAAGAAAAACTCTAAAAAAAAACAAAAGAAAACTTAAATTAAAAACAAACACTAAACGTCTTGTCTGTAATTAAAACAAAAACAAATACTATTTATGTGTATCAGTGTAAAAAAAAAAAAAACAAAAAACAAAAAACAAAATGCAAAAATCTGTAGTCTAAAAAAAGGAAAAGAAAATGATCTGCATAAAGAGATTCTTTTTTTTTTTTTTTGTAAATTAGCACATTTTATTCGTATCTCTAAAAACAAAAATTGTTTATTTTTTTGCCTGTATTTTTTGAAACGAAAAACCTAATTTTTTTTTAATATTATTACACACGTAACATATGGATATATATTATAATCGTTGTCTAACAACATAAACGTAACTAGGCATGTACTAGGTCCTAAGTCTACATAAACCAGATATTATATATATATATACAAGAGCTATATACGGCAGCACACACACACACACACGAGAGAAGTACACGGCAAGATGATAAAAAGAGAAAGAAAAAAGAAAATCATGAAAGGAAATAACAAAAAACCAACACACACACAGATAGCAAACTAAACTAAACTATTTTTTTTTTTTTTTTGTGGTCCTAGAACTTAAGCGAACGTAATTTATTATAAACAAATGGATAAAAACAAAAACAAAAACAAAAAGAGCGATAAGGAGAAGAGAAGAAAGATGGAAGGAGAGAAGACAGGAGACAGGAGAGAAGCAGCGGAAATGCTAAAACTAAATGTAAACCTAGAAAAGGAAGAAACCTAACAAAATTACACATATATTAATAGAAGATATATGAGCATAAATCTATGAATTTCCCAATTATAATGATATAGCAGCGAAAAATAAAACAAAAACAAAATAAAAAATAAAAAATAAAAACACACGAGACAAAAATCCCCCAGCTAACGATTTTGATTATTATTATGACGATGCGAATTATTATTATTATTATTGTAAAAAGTATTTAGTGTTAGCATAATGCGTAAGTTTATTAAAGAACCGAAACAACAACAACAACAACACAGACAACTAAATCCTTATATTCATCAAGCGATTAAAAAATAAAATGTGCAAAAGAAAATGACAACAAAGGCGAATTATAATAAATGGCTAAAAAACAAAAACAAAAACAGTAAACAGTAAACAAAAGTAAGAAGGTGGGAAATGTGCGAAGAATATGCGCCAGGAAAATGTTCACAAAAGGTATGAGCGCGCAGCGGTTAAGGCGGGAAAATCAATAATAAATAAACACAAATTGTTAACAAAACCTAAATAAAAAGCAAGTCGATGAAGAGCAACAAACAAAAAACGGAAATGAAAGAAACATTTGATGAGAAAAAAAAATATATATAAAATAAAAAAAAAAATTAAACAATATTTTGGCTTTGAATTTGGAAAAGGGAAAGAAGGGAGAGAAGGGAAAGATAATCAATGGTAAGTTTTCTTGGCCTATTTTTTAGGATTTTCTTATTTGAAAATTATTGGAAAAATTATAAAAAGTAAGTATTGGCTAGCTAAGCGTTATGATAAAGCTTAGAAAAGCCATCAAATTCTCTTCTTAAGAATGCAGATTTTTGTTCATTTAACAATCCAATTGATAAAGCTAAAGAAATCAATCACAATCAATACAATAAGGAAAGCTCTTTTTCTTCCAATAAATCACTAAAAATATTTCAATACTCATTATATAGTCAAACTTGCAACCTTCACCCTTTTCTTCAAGCCAAATAAACTTCCCCTTAAGCCTTGAAATCAGTTTCATTGACTAACCTAATCGGTCCTAAGTTAACATGGCTTAAATTGGCATTTCCAAAGATTTAATTCACAAAGTAAAATAACTAACTTTGCTGCTGCCCGAAAAGTATCTCAAAGCTTCCAATTCACAACCCTTGAGGCTGGACACTCGAAGTCTAAGGAAAACCATGGCCAAATCTATTCAAGAAACAAAATCACGTTAAAAGCCCCGCAGTTACCAATCACAGTTAAGTTTCCAATGTGATAAATTTAACTATTTATTGAAATAGTAAAAAGATATAGAAAGTAAATGAATTTTTACTACAAACTTTGATGAAGAAAAGGACATATTTAATGGTGAAAGTCCATCACTTTTCCATATCACAAATACACCCCTAAAAAACTGCAGTTTTTCCTATATCTTTTTGTCAGCTTAAGTATGGGATTTCGTGACCATTAGCTGGGGATCTCAGCTGTGCGGCAGCGTCTTTAATCGCACTCACTCTCGCCGGCCAAGTTAATATGCGTGGCTAATATCGGGACAACACATTATTGATGCCCAGGACATGCACATCCCAGGGACATAGCCATGGACATGGACATGCACATGGGTGGCTGAGTGTGGAGAGTGGCAAGGGGGTGGTTGGTCAGTGGCAGTCAGTGCCTTTTGTTCGACACATGTGCGCGCATTCACACCTACGACCAAAAACACGGTCACGAACAATGTAAAGGGGAGGCCGTATGGCAAGCGGGGGAATACTTCAGAGGGGGGCTGGGGGTTACAAAGGGGCTCCAAAAGGGGGAAGGTAGTGGACACGGCAACGTAGATAGCATTTAATGCAAAACAATGCCACACTGTTGTTGCTGCAAGAGAGGCATGCAACAGCAACAGCAGCAACAACAACAACAACCATGACGAATTTCGTACTCGCCATATAGCCACATATATCCACAGATGGCCACAAACATATATAGCCAGCCACATATATCCACATCTGCAGGCGTTGCAAAACGGGGCACGCACTTGGACATGGAAATGGACATGGACATGGACATGGACAGGCACACACGCAACAGTGCAGCTTCACAGGAAGGGGATTATGAGGAAAAAGTGCACTAAAAGTTAAAAAAGTTTCCCATTTTCTTAACTTTTCACTTTAGCTATCGACGATGAGAGAGTTTCCTATTCAGTTACTAATTTCTTGAACTTCAATTGGGAGACTTGAAAATCCTGTAGTAGCCAGACTTCACTGTACTCATTGCGTTCAGCTGAGCGTTGCCCTGTGATGTGTTGCACTTCACACACGGATGCGGCCGCACGCACACCGCTGCACTCGTGTGCTAGTGGCTTGTCTAAAACGCATATTAAATGTCCATCAGTAGCTGCTGTGTGTGTGTGTGAGAGTGTATATATGTGTGTGTGTGGGTGAGGCGTTCAATCTGTCCTGGGCCATCAATCCACAAAAGCGTCGAGGCAGGACGAGTTTCTCCTCTGGTCCTGTCCTTTTCGTCCTGCCAACCGCCCAAAGTCCTGACGTGTGACGTTCGTTTATCAGTTGGCAGCCGCCCGACGGCCAAAAAGGGGGCATGGTCGTTGAGGTGGGCTGAGAGCGGAGGTCAGGCGGAGGTCAGGGGGGCGGACGTGAATGATGGACGTGAAGAGGCCAGGCCAGGCCAGGCCATGCTAGTATATCCAGCAGCATCCGCACAGTGGAGGAGATAAGATGACTTTTTTGGATAAAAAACCTAAATAGGGACTTCTTTTTACTTAAATATTTTATAAACAACTTTAAAATATACTCAGAATGATATTTCCTTTAAATAAAAGCAAAAAATTCATCGAAAAACTATCGATATTAGCGATTACAAAAGGTAAAAGCTTAAAGTCCACCACAAATAATAAAAATGGCTTACAATTTTACGACTTAAAAGTGATTAATGGATTGTAAAAATACATATTAAGTTAATATCAACGACTCTCTTCTTCCAAACTGTAAAAAATATTTAAAATTTAATCACTTTTTAACCTTTTCCACCTACTGTGCCTTGGCCGTGTGTGAGAATTTGCTGTTTGCGTTGTTTCCGTTTCCGTTTCCGTTTGTCGCCAAAAATGAATTTGTTAACATTAAATGGCATTTAGACCGGTGTGCCCGGGGGCGTCAGAGGTGTGTGAGTGTGTGTGTGTGTGGGCGTGGCCAGGACCATCCATTCCGCTCATGACACACCCCTCCTCCTCCTCCTACTTTCATCCTTCCATGGCTGCGTACCTTCATCAGGCATTCATTCATCATCACTCATGCTGGCATGTCCAGCATTTTGAGCTACAAACTGTAATTGTAGTTTCGGACTGCGACTGCGACTGCAACTGCCACTGTCGTTGCAGTTGTGATAAATGCTTTTGGGCTTTTTGGATTAGACACGCGTTGCCATCATCATATTCCTCTTTTTTCCCCTCTCTCTTCTTTGCTGGTTTGTTAACGGCCAGAAAGATCGTTTAAAAGGCGGACAAATATCAAGAAGCAAAAATCAAGAAACCACAAAATTGCCCTTAACTTGTTAGAGATCTGCCTCTCGATCGCACTTGATGGCTTGTTTACAGACAGAGAAAGGTTATGATATGATAGGTTATGATAGGTTTTATAACATTTTGATATTTGATACGAAAAAACAGTTTGAATTTCCATTTGATATTCCCTTTTTTTGTTAAGAGAAACCTCTCACCTTTAGCAAGATCATCATAATTTACCTCATAAATAACCCTTAGACAACCTTATATCTGTTATAAACCTCAGATTTCTGTGTAGCTGCCACTGTTTGTTGTTGCGGTTTTCATCGACATCGACTGGCTGGGTTTGCCTGATTGCCTCCATATGAGAGCGCCGTCTAATGACTCAATTTTCGATCAAAACCTGAGACAATTACTGGTCCACAATTATCGTCATGTGAGTCACTCAAGAAGAGGGGGGGCAGAGGTTTTCCAAAAGGGGGGGGGTACCAAAGCAGTACACATGTGCGTGCCACGCAATGACAGCCAAAGCGACGATGTTTGATTTGAAGCTGTCGAAAAGCAGCTCAACAACTCGAACAA